ATGATTTGAAATCATATCTCATACGATATCTAGAATGGAGGAATATATGATCCCTTATCTAAGGACACGCGTATCTGATATGATCAGAGTTGACAGCGGCTTTGGAAAGCTACGATTGCAGATCAGGATCTGAAGTCATACGCAGAATAGTTGTTAGACTTATCCAAGTGGGAGACTGTTGGATTAGTGTCTAAGTCCATAACTATTTTGGTATGTACTTGACCCGATGGTGCATGGTCCTTTTGGGTTGCCTTCACCAAAGCAACTTGATTGGAGAAATGAATAAAGAGAGAGAGGATAATATGATTTATTAATATGTTATAAGAATAATATATTAAAGGAGAAATCATATTTGTTTAATTAATATTGGTCAATAATTAATTAAGAATTAGTTTTGTGATCAAATGTAATTAATTAAACTAGAGGGGCTGAATTGTAATTATGTGATAGTTACAAAATAAGGTAAGGATTATCTTATATATATGGTGAACGAATTTGAGGTGTAAATCCCTTAGAATTCGAGTATGATAAGGATTCAAGGATTATCTTATTGGTTGCTTAATGGATAATCAACTAGATAAGGATAATGACTGAAACCCTATCTCTACACCTATATAAACACCCCTAGGGCCATGAATTCGTGTATCCCTTCCCAAGAGGTCCTAGATACGAATTCTAACCTCTCACCTCTCTCCTTATACCTTCTCCACTTGCTTATGGTGTTTGTGAGCCATTAGAGGAGTGACACTTGTGACTCTAAGCCTTCCAAAGTCAATACAAGGAGATTTGGGATTGTTATTACTACATAACAATCAAGGTATGTTCTTAAACCTAATTACATGTTAATATGATTACTTGTATGCTAGAATTAGGGTTTATAGTCTTGGATTCAAAGCATGTACAATAGAGAAACCTAGATCCAAGCATTAGGGTTTGTATGAGCACATAGGATGTCTTATGACCAAAAACCCAACAGTTCCCCCATCATACCACATACCATACAATCACATATCATACATATGGTCGGGCAATTCTGGGGTGCCCGACTTACCCGGTACGGCTATTCTGGGGTGCCGACCTACCCGTGTCAAGCCGTTCTGGGGTGCTGACTATCCATGTCAAGCCATTCTGGGGTGCTAACTATCCATCGGCCCTAACAACCGCTCCTCGGGGACTATTTCACCCCTTACTGCTACTATCACATATATCATAACATAACATATTATCAGACATATCTGGGGTGCCTGAACTACCCTTCGGTCCTATCAACCGAACTCGGGGATTGGTCCCCTCCTACTACCTCTATCGCATATAACATAACAAGCCAGCATGCAAACATATCATCACGTACTGTCAGACGTATCTGGGGTGTCTGACTACCTTTTGGTCCTAACAACCAAACTCTACTACTATCACATACAACATATCATGCTAGGCATATAACATATCAGGTAGTAGCAAACCTAGATGATATCACAAAGACAATCATCTATCATACATCTCCTACTGGTGGGCCGGTATTGTAGCCTTAGACCCACCACTACTGGAAGGTAACTCACCTCGTAGTAGCTGCTGATATGTGTGGGAATGGTCTGTCTGGTGCTACTGCTACGGAAATCCTCTGGCTGTACTTCCCACCAAACACTTAGTCAATTACTGCTAACCCTCCTCAGGGTAAATTGTCCATTTACCCTTAACAATCAATGAGTCAAGACACAATCAACTGCCAGTTGACCAGACTCGCCGAGTTGGCTTGCCAACTCGCCGAGTCCCTTTCTCTATACCCAAGTCCAATAGTCCTTCATCCTACTTGCCGAGTTGTATGAACAACTCGTCGAGTTCGCCTTCATCCGAAGAACACTTTAAGCTGTGACTCGCCGAGTTGTATGAACAACTCGCCGAGTTGTTCTTGAGACAAGAAGATTGCCATGAACTCGCCTAGTGACTTCATGAGTGAGTCTGGCTTCCAACCCACTGAGTCATTCCCTATGACTCACTACTCCAACCCGCAAACACGAAAAGTGGAAAAACCCGGGGACTCGCGACCAGACTCGCCGAGTCAGATGAACGACTCACCGAGTCTGCCTCATGCAAAAACTATACACGCGATTTTGCTTGAATCCAGCCCATGCCATTCATAGATCTGGGTTCCTAGGGCCTTGTTTACACGTAAAGTTTCCAACTTTACGTGTAGATAATCACCATTGAAGGTTTTAGGACTCAAAGTGCACCAAAAGGGGTAGATCTAGGACTTTCATGCAATATGACTCCATAAAGGCAGTAGATCCAAGCTCCAGGGACTAAATCATGCCTAGATCTAAAGGCTAACAACTTATTACAACCCATAAAGCACAAACAAACTTGGGGAATGGCTCAAGAAGGACTTTCATGAAGCTATTAGGGACTACAAGCTTGAAAACAGAGGGGAAACGAGCTATACCTCAAGGAAAACGTTGAGATGTCACAAAGATGCTTGGCCTCCTTCTCCTCTTCTTGATCTACTCTTCTTTCTCCTCAAAAACTTCAAGAACACACCAAAATACTTCAATCTCACAAGGAATAAGGGTAAAAACGATGTTGGTAGCTCTGAGAGTGAATGGGGGCGAGCTTGGGGCGGAAATGAGGGTTTAAATAGGGTGCAAACCCTTGAAATTTAGGGTTTCATCAAACATCGGTGACTCACCGAGTCCAGAATATGGACTCGCTGAGTCGCCAACTTAAATGTACCCCCGAACCGCGTCCCTACTCGGCGAGTCGAACCTACAACTCGCTGAGTCCAAGGCTAAAATGACAAATACTTAGATAAATTTTACGTACCAGGAACCAGGTGCTACAATCTTCATCATGAGAAATGTAGACGGGCAAAGATCACCGGTGGTGGTGGACTTTCTATATCATAGATAATGTTAGGACAAAAAGTAGTAGCTGAAATCTACAAATTTAGTATAGCTAAAGGGGGGTGGGGGAGGAGTGATAATTGATCAGTAGTTATTTGGTAAATAAATATTTTTTTAGTAATGTTGAAAATAAATACATAATTTATAGTAAATCAATATTTTTATATTAATTTGTTAACAAATTTTCAACTAAAACAACCATATGGGTTTTAATGCCATCATCAAAATAGTTTTTAATTTTTAAAATTTTTTACTTGATTGATAATCCAAGTATTTACATAATTTTGGTTGTCATATTAACTTGACTATATTTTGAAATGTCATTTTACAATTTAAAATGTCATATGTTTCTATACAAATCATTATTTTTAAGTTATATGTTAATCATTATTATAATTATATATGAATATTACTAATTTTTTAGTTTACTTTATCAACAAATTTTTTATTATTTTATATACAATCAACTTTCTAAATATCATCAAAACATTATACATATTAATGTTAAATAAACCGTTGTTTGAATTAATAGTTTTTTCTTGATTAATGATTTCGATTATAATCTAGAAGTATCAATGTATATATTATTTGATTTTAATTCAATTTGTGAATTTGTGTGTATTCCAATTAAAGGAGCTACCAATCCTCCTTGGTCTTACTTTGAAATTATTAAATTTATTTTTAAATTTTACTTTATCATTTGTCATTATTTATCAAACAAAAAACATGAATGCTACTTATGCTAAAGAGGAGAAAAAATAATAAGTTATATATTGATAATAGAAAATCCAAAAAAAATGTCTATCGCATCATCATCTCAAAGTATATCTACTGCAATGACAGTTCTTACGAAAGTTGTTTATTTCTTAGGGATCATTTTATTCATACATTTTTAATTATATGTCCTCTTATCTAGAATTCAAAATATACATTGATTAAAATTGTTAATTTTAGATACAGTTGATAGACTTACAAATAAAACATTTAATATCATGTATAAAGAAGTTTTAGAAATTTATAAATAATTTATAAAATTTTATTCTTTATATAATCTTTTATTTATTATTAGTAAATGGCCATTCATTCGTCATTTTAATTTGTAAATTGTTTGTGTTCATGTATTTTCTTATATTACATTAATTTTTAATTTGTCATATAACAATGTTATTATCATTGATTGATTATGCTTCTTTTTTTCACTCTATTGAAATTTATATTGCATTTTATAGAATCATAAGTTTACAAAATATCTACAAACACAAAACGATGATCTCATATTAATTATTACAACCAATGTGTTTTCATATTACAACTTTCTTCCTAACTCCAAAATGTTTTAGTTATCATCATGCAATGAATGAAAAGACAAATGAGCAACAAGTTGCGCTGTTAAACCCTTTTGTATTGTAAAACCAATTCTTTTGAAGACTACATCCATAGATCTAGGGGATATAACATGACCATGCATGATCCGTTGTAGTCTACTAAAAAGCTCCACCGCATCCGGCGCAAGTAAACTAAACGTATCAAATGCAAATGGTACAAACGCTTGTTAGTTTTCCATGCACGGTTTCTCATATTTATTTTATTACACCCAATGTGTTGTTCTAGTTTGAATTAAACATTATAACATGGAGAAAATATTTATCTTTATAAATTAATACTTTTTTTATTTTATTGTCTGTCATTACCTACCAATTTAATTATAATTTTTTTTATTTTATTGTTCTGTCATTACCTTACAGTTTAATTATAATTATTTTTTTTGTGTCACGGGTTATAATTTAGCAGTAAAAAAATAGTAATTTCAGCAACCCACTCATGGTGTGCATCGTGCCAACGTCAACGTTGTGATAATGCTTGGGATCTGAATTTCGATTCTTATATTTGTTTTATCAACACAATCCGATGTCAAGTGACCAGAGTAATCATCCATATACTCAGCAGTCAGTAACCACTACAAGTCTACAAGTCTTGCCTTGCTCCCTGAACATGGAGACCAACTGAAGCGATACCAATCTTCGATGGCCAAAATCGACCTCAATTCGCCGGAGAAATAGAATCATATTGTTTCCCCTACCATTCCAAGGCCATATCAATCCCATGCTTCAGTTAGCAAACATTCTTCACACCCAAGGTTTTGAAATAACCATCATACACACCGAATACAACTCCCCCAATCATTCCAACTATCCTCACTTCATCTTCAAGTCCATCCGGGACCGATTTTTCGAGATTGAACACCAGTTAACGAAGGAAGACGCCAGCTTTTTCGTTATATACCTTAACAGAAGCTGTGAAGAGTCGTTTCGGGATTGTCTGACTAGGTTATTGGCGGAAGATGATGAGGGGTCGATTTCCTGTCTAATCTCATATGCCCTATTCTACTTCACGCAAGCCGTGGCAGATTCCCTTAACCTCCCTCGATTGGCGCTTCGGACAACCAGTCTTGCTTCCGCCATTGCTTATGGCGCTTTACCCTTTGCCTCTGAAATTGGTTGTTTTAATCTTACAAAAGGTCAGTAAGTTTTTCTTCTTCTTCTTCCAGGTTCATTTATCCCATCATCCTTATAAACTAGCCGTATAACTTGCTCTGCTTCTTCTGGGTTTTCGTTCAACATTAATCTTCTGCACTCGAATATTTAGGTACTAATTAACTGTGCTGGTTGTTTCGTTTAGATTTTTGTTTCGGAGGATTCTTAATATAACTTCTGAACCGACGTTTCCATATTCAAATTATGAAGCACCGGTGCCGGAATTTCCACTTATGAAGGTCAAAGACGTCGTAAAGATGACAACCAATCCATAAGGTATGGGGATATTTGTCACCAACATGCTTAAACAGATGAAGGCATCATCAGGGATCATCTGGAACACCTTCAAAGAACTTGAACAACCTTCACTAGAGACCATTCGCCAAGAATTTTCAGTTCCGAGCTTCACTTTAGGCCCATTCCACAAGTACTTCCCGGCATCCTCAAGCAGCTTGATCGAACAAGACCGAACTGTTCTCTCATGGCTAGACACCCAAGCCCCAAAATCTGTGATATACGTAAGCTTTGGGAGCGCTTGTCACGAGATGACTCTTTTAGACTAGTCAATACCGTGTGCCACTTAGTGCTTCTTCGACTAAGTCAGGCTTGGAACGCTTCCTTTACGATGTACTAACGACTATGATAGCAAGAGATGCGATAAGGAATGCTACGAAGTAAGAAACGAAGCTTATATATAAGACCCGACTACTTTACAAGGCAAATTTTCAATGATTCCTACAAATGAGACATCCTTCCTATTTATAGGCACCTTACACCTCCTCAAATGGAAGTTTCTAGGTCCCGATCTTTCTTGACTAATCTAGATTCTTCTTATTATTTACATGGCCTTTACATGACTCTAGAAAATGGTATACTTGTCTACGATGCTCTAGAAGGTTCTAGGTTGTTCCGACATTATCCATATTGCTCTTGTATGATCTAGCATATTCTAGATCATTCCAAAGTCTTCCAGGTCGTTCTAACTTCGTCTAGCGTCCTCTTGATTATTCCAGATCGTTCTCCTTTGTTCCACGGACATCTACAATATTCTAGCATCTTCCAGGGTCTCATAGAGCATTCATGATCTCTCCGGAGACTTCTCGAATATACTTGATCGTTCCGGAGTTCTCTAGATGATCGTGGAATTTTCCAAAAACTTGGTTCGTGACAGCTGCACGTATTACCGAATCAGCATTTCAAGAATTGGCCCATGGATTGACAAATACGGGTTTACCATTCTTGTGGGTGATTAGACTAGGGTTAATTCCTGGCCGTTCAAAATGGCTGGAGTGTTTGCCGGAAAAGTTCCTAGAAAGATTGGGTGATGGCGGACGTATAGTAAAATGGGCTCCTCAAGAAGACGTGTTAGCTCATCCAGCAACCGGGTGTTTTTGGACTCATTGTGGATGGAATTCAACGTTGGAGAGCATATATGAAGGAGTTCCTATGGTGTGCTCACCTTGTTTTGTCGACCAACCAGTAAATGCAAGATATGTGAGCGATGTATGGAAGATTGGTGTTTTGTTGGAGGATGGGTTTGACAGGGTGGGGATTGAAAGGGCGATTAAAAGAGTAATGATGGAAAAAGAAGGAGAAGAAATCCGAGAGAGAATAACTACTCTTAAGGAGAAGTTAAATCTTTCTCTTGAAGAAGGTGGGTCGTCTCATCAGTCATTGAAGGGATTAGTGGATTATATTTTATCCTTTTGATCCATAAAAAACCACGTGCAGTATAATTCCATGTATTATATAGTCCAATTCCATGTGTTATACAGTCCACATTAATAAACTTTGTTACAACATGAAATTTGAAGTATTTTATATTTCAAACTTTATCATTAAATTGGCAAAGTGATTTGGTGTCCAGCTTTTATGAGAAGTTTTGTGGATCTATTTAATCTTTATATCCTTTATTAATATGGCGTGTATCTATTAAGTCTCCTAAGCTTTTGTCATTTGTTTGAACTTACGTCACCCTCACATATATATATATATATATATATATATATATATATATATATATATATATATATATATATATATATATATATATATATATATATATATATATATATAGAGAGAGAGAGAGAGAGAGAGAGAGAAAGAGAGTTAACATCAAATAAGAAGGAAAATTTTAGTAAGAAGGTAACAAATTTTTTATATGCATATTTTCTTAGCAAAAAAATATAATGAATCATTAGATGATTCAAAAGTAAGATGATTTACAAGACAAAATTCCGAAAAAAAAAACACCTTTATGATTCATTTTTAGGTAAATAAAAAAAATCATTTTTATAACAATTTTAGAGAATATCAACAAAATCATCATAAAAATAAATCATCGAAATATTTTTTCGGGATTTTTTTGGGTGAATCATCATCTTATTATTGATTCATTTAGTGATTCATTTGTTTTGTTCGCCAAAAAAATAAGTTGAAAAAACAAATTTCTTACATTCCTACCAAAAAAAATTTCTAACCGGATCTATTATATATATATATATATATATATATATATATATATATATATATATATATATATATATATATATAGTAAGTGAATGCCCTCACTTTGCGCGAGAATAGAATTATATAGTTACAATAATAACTTTTACCAAATTATTATTTAATATTTCTACTTTGAAACAGAATGTTAGTAGTAAAGCAAACATATAGTTACCATATTAGTTTTATTAAACATTATAGTTTAATTTTTAAATCATTGTAATATATACATTTATTTGATAATTTTATAAACCGTTTAAAATTGTGTAAATTATATATCAAATTAATGATAATATAACGGTTAACAAAACGTATGAACAAAAATATGAACTGCAACTTTTAGTAACATAAAAATAGAAAAACATATATTATAACATTTGTATTATATATATATATATATATATATATATATATATATATATATATATATATATATATATATACACAACGAATAATAAAAAATATGAAAAATAAACACTATAACTTTTAATAAAATAAAAACACTAAAATATCTATTATAACATTTATATTAACTCTTTATATTTAAATCACAAATCTCTTCAAATACATTAATGTTTTTAATGAGCAAAACTTTATAACCTTATAAAAGAAACAAAAATAAAAAATTATTAGTGATTACTAATTAATAATCATAAGTTAAAAACTCTTGAGTTGTAACTAATAAATATACATAAATTAGAAAACTCTTGAGTTGTAATATGAGTTTCAAATTAATACGGTACTTGGAAATGTATATTTATTATTATTATTATTATTATTATTATTATTATTATTATTATTATTATTATATTAGTCTAAATAATTGATTTTGATGCATCATTTTAATCCCTTCAATTATTCAACATAAAGATGTTTAATTATAAATTTAGAACATACATAGGTACATATACATTTTAAACAAATCACATATAATATATATATATATATATATATATATATTTGTAAATGTTATATATAATTCTTATCGTAGTAATATGAATAAATTACTTTCATATGAAGAACATATCATGATAAGTCTATTATAATTACATATCAAATGTTCAAAATTATGTAATCTTTTAAATATTGTCTTTTAGATATGATCAAAATTATCTTATCTTTTAAATATTGTCTTTTAAATATGTTGTGTAGGATAACCCAATAAAAAAATAATATGAAATAAACATAATCAAAATAGAAAAAACTACAATCAAATAAATAAGAGCATTGGGTGGTTGAATATATAAATAAAGATGTTACATAAATATACATTTAAATCAAAAGAAAAAACTAACATTCATCAACTTTGCTCAAACAAAAAAACCTATATCCATTTTATGAATCTTCTTTCTTCATTTAACACCATTCAACCATAGAAACTTGATTATAATTCTTCACTAACCTGTAATCATAATATTTTTCTTGAAAAAGAAGAATCAGAAAAATATTCCTAGCAAAACATTGATGTTTGGAGAGTCATATTCAAGATTAAGTAATACAAACAAATCATATATAAAGATTAAATGAAAAACTGAATATAAAGAAATAATAGAAAAAGTTTCATTTGTTTTGGTTGAACGAAACAAAATCATATTACAATTACCATCGATGCGATATAACCCATTTCTTCAAATCGTCATATTTGGATCGTGAATGCTTCAACTATATGAAAACTTTTGAATCACAATATCTTCAAATCCTTCTTACATGTAAGATTTTATATAACACAAAAGACACAAAAGATTAGCCTTTTTATAATAAACTTTTCACTAAATGCTAATTAAACATAATATAAGTTATCAAACTTTTGAGTGTTAAATCATAATTAAGAAAACTTTTGAGTTGCATTAAGTATGTATGATATATATATATATATATATATATATATAGAGAGAGAGAGAGAGAGATAGATAGATAGATAGATAGAGAGAGAGAGAGAGAGCTAGGTTCATTTGTTTAAACTAATTATTGTGTTATTGTAGGCATAAATGTGGGTTAATCAAAATTAAATAAAAAATTAAATAATTAAATAAATAAATAAGTGTAATTTAGTAATTTGTTTACTAACTTTCAAAAGTAATCCCTATAATCATGGGATAATTGTTGGTCTTCCTCACCTTAAAACCTAAATAAATGAGCTGGTCTTCCTCACCTTCTCATTGCCGCCTGACCTTCGCCAAAAATCAGCCCCTTCTCTCTTCCTCCAAATCGATCAGAACTCCAAACTTGGAATCAACGACCTTGGTTGGATCCAATCCCAATCCGACTCATGGATAATCGATGCCCTAATGGGACCATCAATCCTCACTCTCCTCAACATCCCCAACGGACATTGCTTCTTCAAATACGATGCATCGCCAGCGATCCCTGACCGAATCCCGATGAGTTCTTCGATGAGTTCTGCGACGAGGATGAAGAGGAATCAAATGGGCCACTGCCAGCACCGAGTTCTGCCCATATTTCCCCTTTTCCTTCTCCTTTGCCTTTGACGCGATTTCTTCCAGCAGCTCCTCCCCCTTCGACCAACGTCTCCATCCAACGCCGCCTTGTTTGAGCTCCAGCTTTTTCCAGCTGTAAGAACAACCCTCTCTTTTTCGTCATTTTTTTGTTCGAATTGCCACCGGTTATCTTATCATCTTCACTTGTTCGATTGAACAACTTTTGTTTTAGATTTTAGATGACTGATCGTTTACCAGTTATTAGCTTCTTTTTTTTGTGTTTTCTTAATCACAAATTTGATCAATTAGTCCTTTACCTATGGTTAGGAATGGAATGCACTGCTGTACAAATCCACATACTTCAGATTAAACACTGTGAAGACTTTATTTGATGATAAATTAACATGCATCAACTTAAAGTGTAAATTAAATTTGTTGGTTTTTGTTTGCTCATTTGATTTATAGGTGATGTATGTACTGCAAATGTCCAACAAGGCCTTTCTTCATGTTGTTTAAAGTTTGTAAAAGTTCAAGTCACCCTTTGTTATTGCTCTTGATGATGCTTTGTAATTGCTCTATTGTAACGATCCAATTTTTACGTCCGAAAATTTCATTTTAAAATATTACTTTAGAAAACATTAATAAATAAAAACATTGTTTGATCACACCATAACACATCGCAACCATGTTCCAAAAGGTCAAACCATACATCCCATCAAAATATCAGAGTACAATCCCAGTAAATCTCGTAAATGCGGAAACCGAAGAGTGTGTGTATGACGTGCCGCTACCGCGCCGGCTCCTTCCCCTTCGATGCAGAGGTACCTGAAAACAAAACTGTAAACGTAAGCACAAAGCTTAGTGAGTTCCCCCAACGTACCACATACCATACAAACACATAACATACGTACTGCCAGGCTATTCTGGGGTGCCTGACTACCCGGTACGGCCATTCTGGGGTGCCGACCTACCCATATGGCCATTCTGGGGTGCTGACTACCCATGTCAAGCCATTCTGGGGTGCTGACTACCCATCGGTCCTAACAACCGATCCTCGGGGGACTGGTCCCCTCCCGCTACCTCTATCGCATAACATAACAGACCAACATACAAGCATACCATCACATACAGTCAGATAATTCTGGGGTGTCTGACTACCCTGCGGTCCTAACAACCGAACTCTACTACTATTGCATATAACGTATCATGATAGCATATAACATAAGATATAATAGCAAACCTAGATGATTTCACAAAGATAATCATCTATCATACGTCTCCTACTGGTGAGTCGGCATTGTGGCCTTAGACCCACCGCTACTGGAAGGTAACTCACCTCAAAGTAGCTGCTGAACTGATCGGGAACTAACTGACTGCTGCTGCTCCGGGAGTCCTCCGGCTGCAATTCCCACAACATACTCAATCAAACACTGCTAACTGTCCTTTAGGTAAAATGACCATTTTACCCCCGGTCTAGCTCTAAGCCAAAGCTAGAGTCAACTTTCAGTTGACCCGACTCGCCGAGTGGATCTCCACTCGCCGAGTCCCTAGCAAACTATTGTCCTGGGTCCCTGGTTCTACTCGTCGAGTTGGGCTATGACTCGACGAGTTCATCTTCTAACTGTCATTCAACTCCTTCATCCTACTCGCCGAGTTGTATGAACAACTCGTCGAGTTCATCTTCATCCGAAGAACACTTTATGCTAAGACTCGCCGAGTTGTATGAACAACTCGCCGAGTCTGTTCTTGATCTATGAAGATTGCCTT